AACACAAAAAGCAGCTTTTATATGTAAGCTGTGATTCTCTCTGTGGGATTATATCATTATATCTGGTATTAAATCACTGTATTATTGGCAACCTATTGCCTGTTCAACCATCCTTGGGGTGACAGTGAATTCATAAGGGATTGCCAAAAGTCAGCAGAGAAGTTTGTCTTTGTGACACCCTTTGTTGCTTTTAACTACAAAGGGTGTCACAACCCAAAAGTTACAGTTACAGTTAGTCCTCTTCAGTCATGTAGCCCTCATTCACTTCTAACATTCTGTGCACATAACCTGCACAGCTACTTTTAGAGCAGTTTTGCCCAGTGCTTTCATAGCATCAATCCCTGGAAAATGTAAATCAAATCTGCCAGGAATAAACATGAGCATGTTGAAGTGGCAGGTGAGAAAGTCGTTAAAGACGAAATCTAAAAAACTTTATTGTAGCCTCTCCTACATTTATTTCCCACAGCAGTCAGTTGGTGGTTATTTTAGTGTCTATATTAGAACATTTGCTCTGTTTGATCACAATAGCTAAATCACATACACAGAGCCATATATATACTTGCACAATAAACCAACTTTTGTATAGACCTTTAGCTTGAATTCAAGGTTAACTGTAGCTGCTTTTCAATAATTTTAGAGGCTCTGAAGTAACTGGACAAACAAACAACTTTAAACATGAGGACTGCATTTAATACTTGGATGAAATTCACTTCCAGTCAATGACTGCCTGAAGTGTAGACTTCATCAGATGTTGTATTTCCTCCTTTGGTCCCCTGCCAGGCCTTTAACCCAGCTGAGGTCAGTTGCTGTTTTTGTGGCACTTACTGCCAGTATGATTGAATCATAATGAATATAAGTACGATTCCATAAAACTTATTTACATGGATAATGAAAAATTCCATAGATTATGCCCACTTTGCTACTATGTTTGAAGGTTCTCCGTGCATGATCCCTGTTCTGTAAATACTTATATCCTATATCTAGTAAAATCATTGGCAGTTTCATTATACTTCAATTCCACAGCCTGCTGCTACATCTAAACTACCAATTATATGACCAGTGAATTATATTCAAATGAAGCTTAACTGTTTAAGAGGGGAAGGATGTGGATTCTAAGTTACACATATTTACACCAGTGGACGTGAGTCATACTTGTATGTCCATCCATTAATAAATAATAAGTAAAGTTCTGGTGTTTAAGTGTAGCTCTTAAACAGCACAAGTACAAGTGAATGAGAGACTGAGAGCAAAAAAAAATGGTTTGCCAAGAAGCATATAATATCCAGCAGAGTAATATTTAGAGATATTATAAAGGAGCAATTGTGAGGAGTTGGCTAATTACATACTTTTATATACAAAATAAAATACCTAATCACACACACCTAAAACAAGAGGCAAGAACTCACCCCACTGGAGAAAACCAGAGACATACTTCTCCCTTGCAAAGGGTGAAGAGTAGAATTCCTGATAGACGCCAACCAGTAGATCCAACAGTGTTTGGAGTCCAACAGGTCCTGTGGTCCGGTGGCCCCCTGCCAGATCAGATGCACCTAGGTCAGGCCCCGCTGACATTTTTCCCAGGGGGTGAGGGCTTGGTTGTTTGTTTTAGTGCTGTAGTGAAGCCCTGGTGTCCATGACTTTCAATCTTCAGTTTGCAGTTTCTCCCGTTTGACTCTTTAAAATTATGTTTATAGTAACGGCTCTCTCCAGATCACGACCTAGTTCTACTGCAAACCCCTCCTCAACTGCCTTTCCTTTCTAGCTGTTCTGCTTGATCACAGAACATGAGCAAAGGTTTTCATACAGACATCCTCTTTTTTATCATACTCTATCCCTCCCTCAGTTTACTGTCACTTACACTCTCCCTCGCTTGTATGTCTGTCAGATGCCTGAATGTCTGTCGGGGTCTCTCCTTTTTCTTCTCTTCCCATAGCCGTGCGTCTGTTAAGCCTGCAGTTTCTCCAACTCTGACTCAACACCTTTTTTGGTCTGGATCTCCCTCTCGCTGTCTTTCAGCTGCCCCTTTTCAAAGTAATCCAAAGTTCCTACTGCAACAGTTTAAGGTAATAGCAAAGCACTGAACTGTTCAGAAACAATTCCTCTTTTCATTTTGTGCATTAGTAGCTCTTTGTATTACCAGCCCTTGTTTGCTTTTATTCCCTGTCCTTCCTCTTGTGATAGAGCAAAGAGGAACTGCTGACCTGAATCAGTTCTGGATTTTGCTTTTGTTTTGAAAATGCAAATCTCTTATTTTGTCAACTGTCCAAAATCTTTTTTTAGTTCTCTTCATTTTTTCTTCTGTCCCACCCTTCTCACCTCTCTGTTATCCTTCTCAGTTCTCACCATGTCATATTTTTGTCACTCATTCTGCAGTAGAAGCCGTTTCCTCTCATCCAGTTCAATGGAGTTGATAAATTGTATTGTTAGGGTTACAATTGTTTGTTCATCTCTTACTACTGTACTGTCCCTCTTTTGCCCTTGGCTGCCTGAGCTGTAGTGGTCTGTCTGTACTCTCTTTAACAAGATTTTTTTTCTTGTCCCCAACTTTTCCTTCCTTGACATCCCAAACAACCTGCCTCTTTTCCTCTCTCTCTTTTCCTTTTCTCCCTTTTCTCCTTATTTATAAATACACCCACCTT